AGGATGTTCCTGATGATGGAAGAGTCCAGACCCAGGGGTCACAGTCTAAGGATGTGATGTAGGCCATTTAGGATTGGGGGTGAATAATTTCTTTACCCAGAGTGGTGATTCAGTGGATTTCCAAATGGAAGTCAAAATGTTCAATGTTTTTGAGAAGGAGTTAGATATAGTTTTGGGGCTAAAGGGATCAAAGGTTATTAGGAGAAAGTCGGAATAGGATACAGAGTTGGATGATTAGCCATGATCACGTTGAATGGTCTGCTCATATTTTCTTTGTCTACCTTCTTGAATTGCTGTACTCCTTGGGTTGTCGTGACACCAACATATTCTCCTGCATGTGAAGAAGAGAGTTCTGGGGTTTTGACCCAGAAACAGTTTTAAAAAAAACGCAATATAATTCCAAGTCAGGACAGTGTGTTACTTAAAACAGAGCTTGCAGGTGGTGGCATTCTCATGCATCTGCTACCCTTGTTCTTCCAGGTGGTAAAGGTCACCGGTTTGGGAGGTGCCATTCAGTGAATCTAAGTGCATTACTTCAATGCATCAGATGGTACACACTGCTACCACTTTCCCATGTTCGGACCAATGTAATGCAGTCAAGGCCTGTACCCAAGCCAAGCAAGTTGTTTCTTGGTGAACTCTGCCTGATAGCTCTGTCAACCAACCCCTTCCATCACTTTGATAATGGAGAGTGGACTATTAGGATTATAATTGGCTAGGTTGGATTTGTTTTGCTTTTCTACGGACATGACCTACCTGGACAATTTTTCACATTGTTAGGTCGATATCAGCGTTATAGTTGTACTGAAACAGCTTGCTAAGTTCCAGAGTACAAATCTTCAGGCTTATTGTCAGAATGTTGTTGAGGCCTAAACATAACTTTTGCAAATGCTTCAGCCTTGTCTTTTGCACTGGTAGGCTGGGCTCACCTGTAGATGAGGATGGGAGTAGTTGTTCAGTCTCTACCAGTTGTTCATTGTTTAATTGTCTATCAACATTCGTATCTGTAACAGGACTGCAGGGTGTAGATCTATTGGCTGTGAGATCGCTTAGCCCTGTCCGTTGCATGCTGCTTTCACTCTCGGGGGGGGTATGTAAGCAGTCCTGTGTCATAGCTTGGTCTGGTTCATATCTCAGTTGTAGGTATGCCTTGTGCTCTTCCTGGATTGCCCTCCTGCACTCTTCATTAAACTAGAGTTGATAGTAATGGTAGAGTGCTGTGTGATTATAGACCGTGGTTGGCTAGATAGGCTGATGATCCACAGGACCTAGTGAATACCCAATTTGAGTTGTGAGATCTATTTGAAGTCTGTTTTATTTGACAGTGGTAGTGCTGTTCAAGACAATGAAGGGTACCATCAGTATGAAGTGGGTACAACTCTACAATGACTATGCGCTGTGATCTCTCCTACTGATAAATGTATTTGCGACAGTTTTGTGAGGGTGAGGTAATTAAATTCCCTCTTGCTTGTTCCTTCACCACCTGTTACAGACCGAGACTAGCAGCCATGTCCTTTAGGACATGGTTAGTAGTGGTGTTACCAAGCCAGTCTTGTTGATGGACATTGAAGTCCCCCACATCAAGTATATTCTGTGCCCTTGCTTCCCTCAGTGCTTCCTCTAAGTGGCATTGAATGTGTAGCATACTGATTAATTAGCTGAGAGTGGGGCAAGAGGTCACCAGATGGTACTCAGCAGTGGGTTTCCTTATCCACGTTTGACCTGATGACATGGTTCTCCATGGAGTCCACAGTCAATGTTGAGGACTCTCACAGCAGCTCCTCCCTGATCGTATACTGTTCTGCCACCTCCTGGACTAATTGGCAGGACAGATCCAGGAATGGGGATGATGCTGGTGGTATCTGGGATATTGTATGGTATGACTGTTTCATGCTGTTCCTTGACTATCTGTGAGACAGCTCTCCCAATTTCAGCATAAACACTAGACATTAGTGAGGAAGACTGCAGTGTCGACAGCGGTGGATTTGCTCTTTTGGTTTCCAGTGCCTAAGTCGTCGTTGGGTGGTCTGTGTGGATTATTATTTTCTTCAGA